CACCTTCAACACTACACTGTGCTACACTGTTCCCACCTTCAACACCACACTGTGCTACACTGTTCCCACCTTCAACACCACACTGTGCTACACTGTTCCCACCTTCAACACTACACTGTGCTACACTGTTCCCACCATCAACACCACACTGTGCTACACTGTTCCCACCATCAACACCACACTGTGCTACACTGTTCCCACCTTCAACACCACACTGTGCTACACTGTTCCCACCTTCAACACCACACTGTGCTACACTGTTCCCACCATCAACACCACACTGTGCTACACTGTTCCCACCATCAACACTACACTGTGCTACACTGTTCCCACCATCAACACCACACTGTGCTACACTGTTCCCACCTTCAACACTACACTGTGCTACACTGTTCCCACCATCAACACCACACTGTGCTACACTGTTCCCACCATCAACACTACACTGTCTGTGTTTTACCATTTAATGAAGCTAGTTAATTTAACTTCATTAAGAATAATTTTATAGTTAATTGACTATACTTTACTACAAGATTTATTGTCCTATACTGATTATATAATGTATAATTACTCCTATATAATGTATAATTACTCCTCCCATTAGGCTTCACTATAAGATATTTGAGCAGTTATATATATAATTCTGCTATGATTAAAATCCCAACAATTTTTACAATGACATTATTCCTACCCAATTTTGTTACTACTCTTTGTGTTCATCAACTATTTTCAGTAAACTTTTTGTGTTCATCAACTATTTTCAGTAAACTTTTTGTGTTCATCAACTATTTTCAGTAAACTTTTTGTGTTCATCAACTATTTTCAGTAAACTTTTTGTGTTCATCAACTATTTTCAGTAAACTTTTTGTGTTCATCAACTATTTTCAGTAAACTTTTTGTGTTCATCAACTATTTTCAGTAAACTTTTTGTGTTCATCAACTATTTTCAGTAAACCTTTTGTGTTCATCAACTATTTTCAGTAAACTTTTTGTGTTCATCAACTATTTTCAGTAAACTTTTTGTGTTCATCAACTATTTTCAGTAAACTTTGGTGTTCATCAACTATATTCAGTAAACTTTTGTGTTCATCAACTATTTTCAGTAAACTTTTTGTGTTCATCAATTATTTTCAGTAAACTTTTTGTGTTCATCAACTATTTTCAGTAAACTTTTTGTGTTCATCAACTATTTTCAGTAAACGTTTGTGTTCATCAACTATTTTCAGTAAACTTTTGTGTTCATCAACTATTTTCAGTAAACTTTTTGTGTTCGTCAACTATTTTCAGTAAACTTTTGTGTTCATCAACTATTTTCAGTAAACTTTTTGTGTTCATCAACTATTTTCAGTAAACTTTTGTGTTCATCAACTATATTCAGTAAACTTTTGTGTTCATCAACTATTTTCAGTAAACTTTGGTGTTCATCAATTATTTTCAGTAAACAAGGGCGTCTCTCCAACACGTGATCAGTTGGAAACATTGCAATATATTAGATAAACACCGCTGGCTACATTGTTACTCACCCAGAGGAATCACACCAACGTAATGCATATCAATTGAAACATCAACAGGAGCTCTGAGGGGATTCGAACCTGCGACCGAGAGAATCCCAGCCACTTACCACTGCACCAAACTGACTTAATGTCATGCAGCCGAATTTCTCCTGAAACTACTTCCCGTGACTGTAGTAGACATTTGGTTGTATGACTTTTTATCAAGTCAGGGGTGGTCCAGTGGTTATATAGCGGCTGGGAGTCTCTGGGTCGCGGGTTCGAATCACCTCAGAGCTCCAGTTGATTTTCTTCTTATTATTATTATTATCGTTACCACTGCTACCAACCTGACCTCTTACACAGTTCGTCGCTTTTCGCTCGTATGCGTCATTAAGACTAAAAAGTGTCATACTAGCGGCTGGCGAAATTGACGTACTGTCCCGTTTTCTGTTTTGGGTCCTCTGGCTTAGGTTAGGAGAGACCACTTTAAATTGACCGTTTTCTTCACTTTGAGAAACCTTAGGAGGACGGACTGTGTTATTCTACAGGCCGCTAGTTTGTAATCACAGCCTTCCTGCCTTAGATCACAGCCTTCCTGCCTTAGATCACAGCCTTCCTGCCTTAGATCACAGCCTTCCTGCCTTAGATCACAGCCTTCCTGCCTTAGATCACAGCCTTCCTGTCTTAGATCACAGCCTTCCTGCCTTAGATCACTACCTTCCTGCCTTAGATCACTGCCTTCCTGCCTTAGATCACAGCCTTCCTGCCTTAGATCACAGCCTTCCTGCCTTAGATCACAGCCTTCCTGCCTTAGATCACAGCCTTCCTGCCTTAGATCACAGCCTTCCTGTCTTAGATCACTGCCTTCCTGCCTTAGATCACAGCCTTCCTGTCTTAGATCACAGCCTTCCTGTCTTAGATCACAGCCTTCCTGTCTTAGATCACAGCCTTCCTGTCTTAGATCACTGCCTTCCTGCCTTAGATCACTGCCTTCCTGTCTTAGATCACAGCCTTCCTGCCTTAGATCACACACAGCCTTCCTGCCTTAGATCACAGCCTTCCTGCCTTTGATCACAGCCTTCCTGCCTTAGATCACTGCCTTCCTGCCTTAGATCACTGCCTTCCTGCCTTAGATCACAGCCTTCCTGCCTTAGATCACAGCCTTCCTGCCTTAGATCACAGCCTTCCTGCCTTAGATCACAGCCTTCCTGCCTTAGATCACTGCCTTCCTGCCTTAGATCACAGCCTTCCTGCCTTAGATCACTGCCTTCCTGCCTTAGATCACAGCCTTCCTGCCTTAGATCACTGCCTTCCTGTCTTAGATCACAGCCTTCCTGCCTTAGATCACACACAGCCTTCCTGCCTTAGATCACTGCCTTCCTGCCTTAGATCACTGCCTTCCTGCCTTAGATCACAGCCTTCCTGCCTTAGATCACAGCCTTCCTGCCTTAGATCACAGCCTTCCTGCCTTAGATCACTGCCTTCCTGTCTTAGATCACAGCCTTCCTGTCTTAGATCACAGCCTTTCTGCCTTAGATCACTGCCTTTCTGCCTTAGATCACAGCCTTCCTGCCTTAGATCACTGCCTTCCTGCCTTAGATCACTGCCTTCCTGTCTTAGATCACAGCCTTTCTGCCTTAGATCACTGCCTTTCTGCCTTAGATCACTGCCTTCCTGCCTTAGATCACAGCCTTCCTGCCTTAGATCACTGCCTTCCTGCCTTAGATCACAGCCTTCCTGCCTTAGATCACAGCCTTCCTGCCTTAGATCACAGCCTTCCTGCCTTAGATCACAGCCTTCCTGCCTTAGATCACAGCCTTCCTGCCTTAGATCACAGCCTTCCTGCCTTAGATCACTGCCTTCCTGCCTTAGATCACAGCCTTCCTGCCTTAGATCACAGCCTTCCTGCCTTAGATCACTACCTTCCTGCCTTAGATCACTACCTTCCTGCCTTAGATCACAGCCTTCCTGCCTTAGATCACAGCCTTCCTGCCTTAGATCACAGCCTTCCTGCCTTAGATCACTGCCTTCCTGCCTTAGATCACTGCCTTTCTGCCTTAGATCACAGCCTTCCTGTCTTAGATCACAGCCTTCCTGCCTTAGATCACAGCCTTCCTGTCTTAGATCACAGCCTTCCTGTCTTAGATCACAGCCTTCCTGTCTTAGATCACTGCCTTCCTGTCTTAGATCACAGCCTTCCTGCCTTAGATCACACACAGCCTTCCTGCCTTAGATCACAGCCTTCCTGCCTTTGATCACAGCCTTTCTGCCTTAGATCACAGCCTTCCTGCCTTAGATCACAGCCTTCCTGCCTTAGATCACTGCCTTCCTGCCTTAGATCACAGCCTTTCTGCCTTAGATCACAGCCTTTCTGCCTTAGATCACAGCCTTCCTGCCTTAGATCACAGCCTTCCTGCCTTAGATCACAGCCTTCCTGCCTTAGATCACAGCCTTCCTGCCTTAGATCACAGCCTTCCTGCCTTAGATCACTGCCTTCCTGTCATGGGGAGGGGAAAGAATTGCTTGCTTGGCCATCTGTGCGGACAATTGAGAAATATTTCTGAAGCTTGCGTCCAAAGGATATAAGGAATAGACTTGCGTGTTCTATCCCTGCTGAGCCCACTGGAACTCCTCCTGAGGGTCAGCAATGTGGTCTTGCTTTTTCCACAGAGCACTGTCCCCTCCGGTTCATCGGTTGGGATATAGAGCCGAGGCAAATATAATTGGTTGCAATATCCGCGGCACTGGAAGCTGTCTGCTGCGGATTGTGTGGGTAATTGCATCGTATTTCAATGTTGCCACTGAGCTGGTTGTGGTTCGAGGGGTAGCACATATATTTTATGGCGCTAGCGCCTGAACGGCTCTGCTGATTTGAATGATGTGACCTTCAGCGTCACATCACTGAATGATGTGACTTTCGGCGTCACATCACTGAATGATGTGACCTTCAGCGTCACATCACTGAATGATGTGACTTTCGGCGTCACATCACTGAATGATGTGACTTTCAGCGTCACATCACTGAATGATGTGACTTTCAGCGTCACATCACTGAATGATGTGACTTTCGGCGTCACATCACTGAATGATATGTGACTTTCAGTGTCACATCACTGAATGATATGTGACTTTCAGTGTCACATCACTGAATGATATGTGACTTTCAGTGTCACATCACTGAATGATATGTGACTTTCAGTGTCACATCACTGAATGATGTGACTTTCAGTGTTTCATCACTGAATGATGTGACTTTCAGTGTCACATCACTGAATGATATGTGACTTTCAGCGTCACATCACTGAATGATATGTGACTTTCGGCGTCACGTCACTGAATGATGTGACTTTCAGCGTCACATCACTGAATGATGTGACTTTCAGTGTCACATCACTGAATGATATGTGACTTTCAGTGTCACATCACTGAATGATGTGACTTTCAGCGTCACATCACTGAATGATGTGACTTTCAGTGTCACATCACTGAATGATGTGACTTTCAGCGTCACATCACTGAATGATATGTGACTTTCAGCGTCACATCACTGAATGATGTGACTTTCAGTGTCACATCACTGAATGATGTGACTTTCAGTGTCACATCACTGAATGGTGTGACTTTCAGTGTCACATCACTGAATGATGTGACTTTCATTGTCACATCACTGAATGGTGTGACTTTCAGCGTCACATCACTGAATGATGTGACTTTCATTGTCACATCACTGAATGGTGTGACTTTCAGCGTCACATCACTGAATGATGTGACTTTCAGCGTCACATCACTGAATGATGTGACTTTCAGCGTCACATCACTGAATGATGTGACTTTCAGCGTCACATCACTGAATGATGTGACTTTCAGTGTCACATCACTGAATGATGTGACTTTCAGCGTCACATCACTGAATGATGTGACTTTCAGTGTCACATCACTGAATGATGTGACTTTCAGCGTCACATCACTGAATGATGTGACTTTCAGTGTCACATCACTGAATGATGTGACTTTCAGCGTCACATCACTGAATGATGTGACTTTCAGCGTCACATCACTGAATGATGTGACTTTCAGCGTCACATCACTGAATGATGTGACTTTCAGCGTCACATCACTGAATGATGTGACTTTCAGTGTCACACCACTGAATGATGTGACTTTCAGTGTCACATCACTGAATGATATGTGACTTTCAGTGTCACATCACTGAATGATATGTGACTTTCAGCGTCACATCACTGAATGATGTGACTTTCAGTGTCACATCACTGAATGATATGTGACTTTCAGTGTCACATCACTGAATGATGTGACTTTCAGTGTCACATCACTGAATGATGTGACTTTCAGTGTCACATCACTGAATGATATGTGACTTTCAGTGTCACATCACTGAATGATATGTGACTTTCAGTGTCACATCACTGAATGATGTGACTTTCAGCGTCACATCACTGAATGATATGTGACTTTCAGTGTCACATCACTGAATGATGTGACTTTCAGCGTCACATCACTGAATGATGTGACTTTCAGCGTCACATCACTGAATGATGTGACTTTCAGCGTCACATCACTGAATGATGTGACTTTCAGCGTCACATCACTGAATGATGTGACTTTGTGTCACATCACTGAATGATGTGATGTGACTCACGCAATATTGAGATGGTAAGATAATATGAATGAGACGTAATATCAACTAATAATCATATCATGAGGCTATGCAAGTTTTCACACACACACTGAGCTTCATACATCAACAGCTGCTAGTGCCGCCCCGGATCAGGGTACAGCTCAAGACACAGCTCACTCAACATTGATCTGACTGTCAAAAGACTGTCAATGGGTGTCAATAAACCGTCTCTCTGTGACAGTTCATAATTCCAAATATCCCGCGCTGGATTGTTCTGTATTCTTCACTGATTGGTTGTTTTGTTCTCTCCTCTATACCTGCTACACCATATATATATATATATATATATATGTATGTATATATATATATATATATATATATATATATATATATATATATGACAATGTCAGACCACGGAGGAAAATGAAACAGGAATTTCCTTAAGTACTTTCGTATTTAATAGTACATCTTCAGAAGGGTTGACCCTTCTGAAGATGTACTATTAAATACGAAAGTATTTAAGGAAATTCCTGTTTTAATTCTTCCTACGTGGTCTGATACTGTCATATTTTTCATCACGTTTTAATTTTCGTGATTCACACACACACACACACACACAAATGTCAGACCAATCCTGGAGTATGCAGCCCCAGCATGGAGTCCATATCTAGTCAAGGATAAGACTAAACTGGAAAAGGTTCAAAGGTTTCCCACCAGACTAGTACCCGAGCTGAGAGGTATGAGCTACGAGGAGAGACTGTGGGAAACCTCACTTTGTTGGAAAACAGAAGAGTTAGGGGGGACATGATCACCACATTCAAGATTCTCAAGGGAATCGACAGGGTTGATAAAGACAGGCTATTTAACACAAGGGGCACACGCACTAGGGGACACAGGTGGAAACTGTGTGCCCAAATGAGCCATAGAGATATTAGAAAGACCTTTTTTAGTGTCAGAGTGGTTGACAAATGGAATGCATTAGGAAGTGATGTGGTGGAGGCTGACTCCATACACAGTTTCAAGTGTAGATGTGATAGAGGCCAGTAGGCTCAGGAACCTGTACACCTGTTGATTGACGGTTGAGAGGCGGGACCAAAGAACCAGAGCTCAACCCCCGCAAGCACAACTAGGTGAGTACAACTAGGTGAGTACACACACACACACAAAGAGATCTAGGGGTGGTTCTAGATACAAAACTATCACCTAGGACCACATAAAGAATATTGTGCGAGGAGCCTATGCCACGCTTTCTAACTACAGAATTGCTTTTAAATACATGGATGGCGATATACTAAAGAAATTGTTCACAACTTTTGTTAGGCCAAAGCTAGAATATGCAGCGGTTGTGTGGTGCCCATATCTTAAGAAGCACATCAACAAACTGGAAAAGGTGCAAAGACATGCTACTAAGTGGCTCCCAGAACTGAAGGGCAAGAGCTACGAGGAGAGGTTAGAGGCATTAAATATGCCAAAACTAGAAGACAGAAGAAAAAGAGGTGATATGATCACTATTTACAAAATAGTAACTGGAATTGATAAAATTGATAGGGAAGATTTCCTGAGACCTGGAACTTTAAGAACAAGAGGTCATAGATTTAAACTAGCTAAACACAGATGCCGAAGAAATATAAGAAAATTCACTTTCCCAAACAGAGTGGTAGACGGTTGGAACAAGTTAGGGGAGAAGGTGGTGGAGGCCAAGACCGTCAGTAGTTTCAAAGCGTTATATGACAAAGAGTGCTGGGAAGACGGGACACCACGAGCGTAGCTCTCATCCTGTAACTACACTTAGGTAATTACACACACACACACACACACACACACACACGCACGCACGCACACGCACGCACACACACACACACACACACACACACACACACACACGCACGCACGCACGCACACACACACGCACGCACGCACACACACACACGCACACACACACACACACACACACACACACACACACACACAAGGGAAGCCGGTGGCCGAGCGGACAACACGCTGCACACGTGATCCTGTGGTCCCGGGTTCGATCCCAGGCGCCGGCGAGAAACGATGGGCAGAGTTTCGTTCACCCTATACCCCTGTTACCTAGCAGTAAATAGGTACCTGAGAGTTAGTCAGCTGTCACGGGCTGCTTCCTGGGGTGTGTGTGTGTGTGGTGGGGGGGGGGGGGGGGAGAAAAAAGTAGTAGTAGAAACAGTTGCTTGACAGTTGAGAGGCGGGCCGGAAGAGCAGAGCTCAACCCCCGCAAGCACAATTAGGTGAATATATATATATATATATATATATATATATATATATATATATATATATATATATAATCTATTTAATCTTTGATACAAAAAATGATTTACATATTGGGTACAAAGATGGTTATCATAAGTTGTCGAGTTCCTCCAGCTCCTCAGATGGCGGGCAGGAACCCTGGATGCAGTGTGCATTTCACCTCTGTATCGCCACGCTGAGGCGCTGGAAAAGGAAGCTGGTAGCTCTAGGGTCCCTTGTTTCAATTAGCCTAGAACCCAGTTCCATAAAAATAACTGGTGGTACTCTTACCCCAGGCGCCGAGTGTCTCAGTAGCAATGGGGACAAAATTGTAGTGGTGATCCAGTTCTCTGTACTTACGGGATTTGGCTGCTTCCCTGTGGGTGGCAGCGCCACCTGGTTGTGCAACACTGAGGTCAATGTAGGTGTTAGCCAGGGTTGATACGCACGTGTAGTCCCATACCAACTGCTTGCCATTCTTCCAGGGGTTCACCGTGATACCATCCGGGCGACCAATAAGAGCATCAGAGTTACGGGGCGTTAGGTAACGGGGCTCTCTTTCAGCTGGGCATCCAGCTGTGGTGAGGCTCCTCTTGATGATGATGTTAACTTCACTGTGCCTCGAGTGCCATCCCCCTGTGCTTTGGCAGAGTAGGCCATGGTGGCCGTACCTGTCGGCCACCACCTCGCCGCAAATACACCTATATCTGGTGTGGATTGGGGCAGCAAGGCGGAGGGCCACAGCAATTCGGAGGGCGTGTGGTGTGAGACGCGTGCCAGTTGCCGACATTGGGGTTGCTAACAGGAAATCCCCTGCATGTGGGGCTGCTACTGCTGTGAGGCGAGCAATGTCGTGTTGTGTTGTTGCAGCACCCAGGCACTCTGCAGCAACTTGGTCTACAATGGGGCCATCCCAGCTGGATTGCTTGTGGGATTTTGAGGATGGTGGTTGAGGTGATTGGCCTGCACGAGAGGCCCACTCTGTGGCACAGCGTGTAAAATTAGGATCATGTACACCTGCCAGCTGATGTTAGTAGGCAGATAGAATTTCCTTCACAAGGTCGTCGGATGCCGAGGAGGTGGACAGGATGGCTGATACAGCGATTTGCGTTGCTGTTCGAATCCCTCAACCCACCCCCCCCCACCTTCCCCACCACCCATCCCCCCACCTTCCCCACCACCCATCCCCCCCACCTTCCCCACCATCCATACCTCTCCTCCAACTTTGTATGACTTGCTAACAATTTTTAAGGAACTGGTAATCGAAAAGCAATTTTTTTCAAGAAGGGTTTTATGAATTTCAGCCGTTTATAATTACGATATTATCGACCCGAGATAAAGTAGTTTATCATATAAGTGTCTCCCTCACTACTCTCACCCAGTGTTTCCCTAACTACTCTCACCCAGTGTTTCCCTCACTACTCTCACCCAGTGTCTCCCTCACTACTCTCACCCAGTGTCTCCCTCACTACTCTCACCCAGTGTCTCCCTCACTACTCTCACCCAATGTTTCCCTCACTACTCTCACCCAGTGTTTCCCTCACTACTCTCACCCAGTGTCTCCCTCACTACTCTCACCCAGTGTCTCCCTCACTACTCTCACTCAGTGTCTCCCTCACTACTCTCACTCAGTGTCTCCCTAACTACTCTCACCCAGTGTCTCCCTCACTACTCTCCCTCACTACTCTCACTCAGTGTCTCCCTAACTACTCTCACCCAGTGTCTCCCTCACTACTCTCACCCAGTGTCTCCCTCACTACTCTCACTCAATGTCTCACTCACTACTCTCACTCAGTGTCTCACTCACTACTCTCACCCAGTGTCTCCCTCACTACTCTCCCTAACTACTCTCACCCAGTGTCTCCCTAACTACTCTCACCCAGTGTCTCCCTCACTACTCTCACCCAGTGTCTCCCTCACTACTCTCACCCAGTGTCTCCCTCACTACTCTCACCCAGTGTCTCCCTCACTACTCTCACCCAGTGTCTCCCTAACTACTCTCACCCAGTGTCTCCCTCACTACTCTCACCCAGTGTCTCCCTCACTACTCCCTCACTCAGTGTCTCCCTAACTACTCTCACCCAGTGTCTCCCTCACTACTCTCCTCTCCCTCACTACTCTCACTCAGTGTCTCCCTCACTACTCTCACTCAGTGTCTCCCTCACTACTCTCACCCAGTGTCTCCCTCACTACTCTCCCTCACTACTCTCACTCAGTGTCTCCCTCACTACTCTCACTCAGTGTCTCCCTCACTACTCTCACCCAGTGTC